AAGTTAATACATTTATTGAAAAAAATATCTTTACGTACCTTTTTGGCTATGGACATTACAAACCTCATGAATGTTACCTTATGGACATTAGAACTATCTTCTAAAATGTGTTGGATAGGGTGGACTACAGATCGCGGAGCTGTAACAGCTTATGTGCCCCTGGAGGCGCAGTACCAGCTGGCGCTCCGGCTGCCGGGTCCGTTGCCGTGTGGCCGGCTGTCTGTTCGCCGCGCCTGGGGATTTGCCGTCGGGTTAATTCCCGCTCCGACGCACCGTCTCTGCGAAGACTTTCGAGGCTCCATTGCCCTCAGACCCAGGGCCTCACTAACCCACCACTACATCGCTTACGCACCGCTTCAGCGTTCTCCTATCGCACCACCACAACGTACCTTTTCGACTCTCTCCTGTGTGCCCCGTTTCATTTCAATTCACCTTCCGAACCATTACCATCCTCCTGAATTCTACTATACACTTACCGCTCTTTTATCAAGGTAAGAACAAGTGTTGTAGAAAGGTTTTAAAAGGTAAGAAGAGGTGTTCTACTTTTCAATAATCGGTATAAATTGAGATGAAAAGTTATTTGCAGTATAAATCGTATTGTATTTCCAACTATTTTATTTCAGATAAGAATATGAAATATTCCAAAACATTAAGATGTAAAGAGTAAGACATAAAGCAAAGAGAGATATACAAAATTACAATATAAGACTTCTAAAATATCTGGATCAAAATTATTTTTCCCTAATTTTCCTCGCCATACATAACCAAAACCTCTTCGAAATTGTGAGACTGGAATCTGTGCCTTCTATCACTGAAAATATTTTAACAGCATTAAATGATATTCTCATGTCGACACTTGTGTTTGGTGCAAACTTGAATTTAGAGATAATTGGCAGTAATTATTGTGATGTTCTCGGAGGTTTGATCCGATAAACGTTTTAATGCATAGATAATTCACGAAAGTCTTGTAAGGTGTAAATAGGTCGAATGGCTCAGCAAATTTTCTGGCTCCAGTTTCGAGGTTAACATACATGAGTAATTAGGGAGCATTTTATCGAAGTAATCTAGTCAAGAACGCGTGATTGTAACTTGAGATGATCACGCAGAAGGGGCTTACAATGATGTTTCTGAAACAGAATACTCTCTCCTTAAGATGACTTGACTGCGAAACAAGCTTGCAAATTGTCAATATTTTTTTAAATTTAATGTAGTAATGAATGGACAAATAGGCTTTTTTAGGCTCTAACACTGAAATGGGCATTTTAGGCACTATATTCCTCTTATATCGAATGTGGTTTATATGTGGTCCCTCTTAATTCGAAAAGTAATGGAAGGAGTACAAAATAATTAATATCGTGTGCCTAACCTCCAAAGAGTAAAATATGCATTGACCTAAAGATCGACGTGTACTTACACCTACCGCACTGTGCCACAGGTTACCAACCTCACCGTAGATCACATCTGCTCCCCTATCGCTATACCTCTCAACTTCCCTCCTGCCACATTCCCATACCTCGGATCATCCGCGTCCCAAAACCAACCACACACTTCTCAACGCCAAGGGTTCATTGATGCCGAAGATAGATCGGTGAAGATGGTAGTGGATGTGGCAGTAGCGGAGGGGACGGAAGTGATGACGATTATTGCAGATGGAATGACGCTGAGTGAAAGGACAGCAGAAGGAAGTAAAGGGGTCAAGAAGAGAGAAATTACTATAAGAAGGGGACAGGTTGACAGCTACTGCTTGGCCACTCCTTGCAACATAACTGCAGGTTATGTCCATGAACTCCTTTGTTTCTGGTTTTGTTTACAATTAGCTCATTCGTAAACGCCTTCATCACTATATCTTACCATGTCCTCGCCGTACATGACGTTCACTCATTTTTAGACCTGTCAAAGTGGTCTCTTCCTTAGAGAAACTCCTCTGATATGTCGCGGAAACGAGGGATTTAAGGCCGTTCTTCCGCCATCAACACCATCGGCAGAAACGCGCTGGAGTGTGGAGGAGAATGACTGATCTGTCTAGAGCGGAGCGGACTGAAGCAAAGAAGACCTGGACTGTTGAAAAGGCCAGCAGTAGGAGATGACGAGGTTGTGGATGGATCGGGCTGTTGAGGGGCGGCAACGCTTAAAACGTGAGGCGTCGAGACTGTGGAAGGTGTGGTGGAGCGGAAGACCCAGGAAGGGCGGGGCGGGAGAGAGAGAGAGAGGACTGCTCGCGCCCAGGCAGCTGAGCTGACGGAGTCGCAGGCGGGCTAGATGGTCGGAGAGGCAGGCAGAAACGGGAGCGGGGCGGGCTCGCTCCCTGTGGGAGCGCTAGGTGGCGGCGCGGCGCAGCGCGGTGCGACCCGCATCCGGTCACCCCGCCCCCGCCCTCGCCGCCGCCCCCGCCACCACCAGTCCCCGGACCCGAGCGCTGGGGGACGCTCCCTCGGCCATCTCACGGTACAGTCCTCGCCAGTCAGACACTCGCGCGCTTCCGCGGCTGGCACTGCCCTGCCCTTTCCCATGTCCACAAGCCACACTCCTGCGTTGCATCCCCCCACACACTGGACTCTGGAATATAATCTTCATTTTTCCGTTGCATTGACAATATTATTATCTTTGTCTAAACAGTGGGATACATCATGGTCGACTACAATAATTCCTTACTGTCATCATCTTTCACCTTCTTTTCTGATATTATAGATAATTAACATATTTTCAACACTTATGTCATCGGAGTTGTATTTTGTATTACTGTAATGCCGTAGGTGGTGTGTATGTAGTAGATGATTTGCATTGGTGGTGCTTTCTAATAGGAACAGTTTTTTGTTTTTGCGTTTTGCTTACATAATAAGAATTTTGGTTCATCTATAAATAACATATTTTAAGAGCTTCTATTTGTACGTGAAGCATGTATAATCATGGTATAAATTCGTTTCACATTCCAAACATTCCTTTTGTTTCTGTTTTATTGTGTATATTACGCACCCTCAATGTTATCAACTGAATAACGAGATTGAGTGATTAACATATAAGATCAAAATGTGTGATTTCCTTTCTCTAGAGTACACTGCCAGTCAATAGTGCTTTCTTTGTAAACCATTGTACATGATAGTTGTTGATAAGAATGGAAGTAATTTATTGATCGTTTGCGCATCTCGTCTTGAGTAATTTATCTTTTTTCGATGTGTTATTTAAAGCCCTTTTTACTGTTTTTAGTGTGTGCTGCTTTCCTATGCGCACGATAAGGTGCAAGTATTTTTGAAGTATCCCTTAAATATATTTTTAATGTATTTTGAGTAAAATATACCTAGCAATATTTTAAGGTTTTTTCCAGTGATATCATTTTTTTAACATTTCAACGACTTCTCCATTAATTTGAAAGCATAGAGATAAAGCAATAAAAACCTTACTATTCGTAGAGTAATTAAAGTTTAATTATCTTACGAAAGTTAATTCAGAACCTCATTCAATTCGTACAACCCTCTGAGCGAAATTTTTTCTCTATTTCATACTTGCCGAACGAATTTCCATTCTTCTCTGCTCGCGGTCCTGTAGAAAGAGTAGGTTTCAGAGGTCGAATTTCTGCATTATCTGATAAGCAGAAAACTGGATAAGCGAATCACGAGCGCATTGTCCCTCCAGGACTGGAAAACAAACTTTGACCCCCCCCCTTGCTTTGCACTACGCATAAAGGCTGAGCCTATCGCTCCTACTCTCCCTCGCCTCGGATGGCCAACTCCCCTGTGGTCACTCCGCTGGTGCAGTGTTCTCTGGATAAGCACCAACGCCGAGGGCGCCGTTCCTTGCTCCCAGCGAATCTTGCCCCATCTTCCCTAGTAGATGTATTAGTATACGAAGGAAATCAAAACATCTGAAAAACCTCAAAAGTTCGAGAGGTAGTAGGAGTGGAGTAACGCTTCTTGGATTTTTCCATCAATGAAGAATATAAGCATAACCTAAATGGTTTTAGTATCCTTGGTTATAAATTATTGTGATAAGTGTAAAATAATCGGAGTTATAACAGCACGTACTTTCTCGCATTATTTCTAACGTTTGCAATTGTCGAAAATTCAGATACTTCAAAGAGAATGAAACCAGTTCTATTTTTAGAGTTTTTTGCTCCATCTGTGGAAAATATTTGAAGAAAACATTTGAAACCTTTTTGAGAAAATTCTTTTAAACATTTCATTAACTAAAGCAGAAATCATTACTAGTTTTTCAGAAAATTGTACATAACATTGTTTTAAACTCTTATTTTTAGAACATATTTTGTTGAAGACAAAGAATTCTACCATCAATATCTAACTTTTGTAAAAATGTTTTTAATTTTCAAAAATACAGAGTTCGACAAAACTGGGACTAGCACCAATTATTTTACCTTTCGAAGAAAGGAGGAAGAATAAATTAAAGAAACAAAAATTGGAGACGTCTTTAAGAAAATAGTTTAAAAACTGCCTACGTTTCTACGAAAACTCATATTTTTTGAAAAATTATACATAACTCTATTTCAAGATCTGTATTTAAACAGATATTATTAAGAAAACATCGATCTTAAATATTGTAGATGTTGGAAGACAACATTAAAGAAATTTTGAATTTTGCAATTTTCGAAAAAAGAGGCTTTTCAAAGAAAATGAGATCACGCCATATTAAAGACGGACGGGCGGACGGGCGGACGGGCGGACGGGCAAGATTTTTCGTTACTAGTGTCTAGCAGTAAGACCTTTCAATTGAGATCTTATTTTCTTTGCAATTTTCAAAAGATGAGATTTTTCAAAGTTCAAAATATTTTCAGTGTCTTCCAACATCTACAGCATTTAATAATCTGATAAATCGCCGATTTTCTGACCCACGATTTCTATACTTCCACTTATTGCGAAGTAAGGCGAAAAAGGTAAAATAATAAAAAAATAATCATCTCGTATTGGGAAGTCAGACAACAATAAAAATTAATAACAGTTAAAGGCAGGAAGACAACTTCATAGATAGCTAAAGAAGAAATTTGAAATATACATTTATTTACATACTTAATATACATTTTAAGATATTTTGCAGTAATGAAAATTATTATTTAATGAACCTAAAAATTTATGAAGGTCAGTGCAAATATATCACAACTTATAATTTCTGTGCATATTTATAGATGTGTTAAATTGATTTTGTTCATTGGTTTAACGAAAATGTTTTTGTCAGATACTCACAATTAAAAAGGTGATATTGTGATTCAACATCATACTATGAATAGTTCGTTAATACTATAAATTATTAGCATTGGTCTAATACTTTGGACCCCCAATACAAAAGTCGTAATATTTTACTTTAAAGCACCCACATCCGTAATTTTGTTAACATAAAGCATTCCTCGTACGAAAATACGACGGGAACGTACGCAACTTAGAATCCGATTAGCGAACACCTTGGAGAAGTTGCCAAACCTGCTTTCCCATGTTCAGGAGCGTACTGATATTGGATTCCGAAGAATCTTCGCCTTTGTTGCCGCCGTCGCCACCGTTGCCGGTGCCATTGCCTTTGGTGTTGTCCTTGGCCTTGGTGTCGGTGTCGCTGCCGAAGCTGACAGCGTTGGCGATCGTGAGCAGCAGCCCGTGCGGCTTGACCGGTTCCACGTCCGAGGCGGCGGCGTAGAGCTCGAGGGCGGCGCGCCCGGCGTCGAGGGCGGCGCGCAGGCCGTTGACGGTGGCGGCTTCGTTCTGGTGGCTGGTGCCCTCCTCCATCGCCGCCATGGCCTCCGCCGCCGCGTGCAGCCCCAGCGACGTCACCACCTGCTGCGGACTCGCGCCCCGCACGCCCCGCGCCACCAGCACCTGCCATTCGATTCATTGATTCATTGATTCATTGATTCATTGATTCATTGATTCATTGATTCATTGATTCATTGATTCATTGAATGAGCAGTGTTTCCCAGCGCTATGGTCGTATACCTCGATCAAAACACTTCTTCGCCAGCAGTGACGCTGTGATCCTATCGGGAGATTGAACGGCTCTGTAATGAGTTCAAGCTCCCGATTGGATGACACCGTCACAGATAACGAAGTACCAACGGACTTCATGTTTTAATCGAAGTACAAGTCCCATATAGGGACCGGCACAAAATAATATCCCTGGCGATTGGGCGCGAAATATGAATCGACTTCCACTAACCAACAAACTGAAAACGCTGCCCGTCACATTGTCTCGTTTTCCTGCCGTCCAAATGTTGGCACATTACTTGTCACAATATGTATGACTCCCTGATCTTGCCGAACCGCGACGCGTAGACAGCAAACGACACGGAGACCCTACGTGATGACAGCGAAATATGAGAGAGATGTTTTTAGTTAAGGAATATACCGGCTGCGCGTGCGCAGAACACGACGCCGGATGCCCAGCGATGAGTCAGAGGGCCATCCTCTAGCATCGATCTCTAAACATGTTGGACATGTTGTATCCCGGGAGGTGGAGGTGTTCCTTCCCCGCTGGAAGAAGCTTAATGGGCTTCCAATATATGCCGAAAACAATTTCTTAAATATGGTTCATTAATTACACACGGAAACCATTTGAAAATAATTATGTGACAAAGACCATTCTTTTTTCGGGGCCGATAGGTTTAAATGAGACGTCCAAGTTATTACGAATTTTCCATGTTTACCAAATAACTCTACATGCATTCAGTATAACGGTTTTGAAGTGTTAGAACGCAATATCTGTATTCTCGAGGGTACCAAATTCGTAAGGAAGCTATACCCGTACGAGTCTCGTTTCGAGGGTGTCTAATATTTCTGGTCTTACATTTTAAAATTTAAATTTAAGTTTGGTGTTTATGGATGTCTCATCTGCAAATATTAACAGACAATTAAAAAGCTCGTGAAATTCTTAATGAAAGCCAGTCCCATAATCTAGTAGAATGTGTTATCGGGTACCGAAAAATTAATGAACTTTTCATCAAAATACTGCCAATTACATTCACAAAATAGCATAATTCAGTTGTCACCTTTAAAAAGATTTGTTCTCTCACTTTCATTAGAGATATGAATGAATATATATCTGGAGATGCGAATGTAACAATTCATTATACTTATCACCTACAAATACAAATATGTGCTACCATCTCTTGCAATGTTACATTAATAATTATTAAATGTGAATAATGTTGAAATGATATTCATACTGAAATTAGATTTCCTTTTCACCTTAAGTGAATTTCAAAAAATATTTTTGACGTCAGTAACTTCATTTTCACGTACACTTCCATGTAATTAAAATATTCCGAGTCGAATAAAGAAATCGTAGCCTACCAACAGCGTGAGGGCAGCGAGCTTCGTTGATGGATGTGTGGGCGCCATTTCCGTCTCTGATGTGCACTACTGCTGAAACCGTGCCCGGTCGCTACCTATCCTGACAATTATTGAGCAATGCAACGATACTATATCAGCACGACTTTCGTACAATACGTTCTTCATAGACAATGACATGCAAAATAATATACGCCTTCAATGCTCGACCTTCCTACTATCGCGAGTTGCCTTTATCGCGATTTTTGCAACAAGGTGAGACCCGAAACGGTTTTTTTTTTTCTGGCGTTTGGGGGGATCGCGTGAATACATGAAGTTACTTGCCTTTTTCAGCAAAACATATAGTTTAGTTTTTTTAAGAGAGTGTTCGTTCCAGTAAAATAATGATTTAACTGATATTTTTCAAGAATCAAATAGATCTCTGGTCTGTTAAGTAGTAATTGAAATTTCACCAAGGACCTAAACAAAAATGGATTATAAATATTAAATTCTAGAACAATGAATAAAATATTTGTATTTTCGCTCATGAATTTGGTGTTTCCTTCTTGATGAAACTAAAATTCGATCAACGAAATAAGAAAAAAAGGATTACTATATCCCGCCTTCAGATATCTCTCCGGCATGGTACTGCAACCTTGCCGGAAAAGCTCGAAGCTCGAGAAAAGCGGTACTGATGACCGGAGAAACATGGAATAATACCAATTAACGGCTGTCGGCCGCTAGAGTTCCCTACCGACAGCAGACGAATATCAAGCTGTTATAGCCTGTGTCGAAAATCGATCACAGTCAGGTCTCAGCTCTAAGACTACCAGTCAGAATCGATGTAAGTCCGGCAGGATGGCTCGATCTAAACTCAGCGCCGTAATCCAATATTGCTCGACGCTGGATCTCAGCATGAGAAAAGGAAAAACACCGCCACCTTCCGCGGATAAAAAATTCACACACTACCAGACCAATGACCGCAGCAGTACTTCAGACACGATCAATCAATAAATTCATCAATATTACTTTTTAAATAGTATACTATTATATATTATTAATTTACATTAAATCTTGAATTTCATCCGTTGTTGATAAATAACCTTTTGACACGCTGTTAGTCCTCCTTTTTACATTAATATTCAAAACTAATATCCAATCGAATGAGTAATGCCAAAGAACTAAATAATTTCATAATTGTGTTCATTGAATTTAAAATGTCCTTAGACCAGTTTTAAAGTAAGAATACATTCACCCCGCGTGAAGAACTTTCAAATCCAAGCAGTTTTTAAATTAAAAAACATGTGGCAATGAGAACATTTAATTATTTTAAAAATGCCAAAGAGATATCCCACACACAAACTATACCAAGCAGTTTTGCTAATCTACTAGCACCTCGCCGCACCTTGCACTGTCCCACCATCAAGTGGAATTGTGCTCTTCCGGAACCTGTTGTCAAGAGCCTAATTTTTTATCATTATAAACATTTTCAGATTTTACAAAGTTCAATTCACACCCTACATGTGTATTGTTGGCTTAATATAAACGTAATGCTAATAACTTAATTATAAAAATTACATTTTTGGGGGAGGAATCCTTGAGGGGACGACCCTAGGGAAGTTTCATTTCGAAAAACTTTTGTAAGGAAGGTATAGAAGAGAAATATGTTTATAACCTCGTATCGGCTAGTGCCAGCTGCCTCGTAATCACGAAATGATAATTCGCGATGTCAACAACGCTTTTATTTGAGGGAGGGAGAATGGGAGAAGCTACAGAACGGGGAAGCAGAGATTACGCACGCCGCCTGTGACCCAATGTTTTATGTACTCCTATGGCCTTCTTTGGAATTAATCGGAGGAAACAACAGAAACGACCAATTATCATCCGACCTCTAGATTTGTCTTTCGGGCAGTCGTAGCAAGCAACCTAGAGATGCGATATCGCTAGCAAAACATGGATGTTCAAAATGAAAACATTGTTAATAATTCACTCCAAAACCATCGACGTTTTTCAACATCTATGTTTTAAAACTACATTCATGACTTCCAACATTTATGTTCAGGGATGGGATGGGATAATATGTCGACGGTCGTGTTTCTTAATTTATAATTTAGGTTTTATTGACACAACAAAATTCAAAAAAATCCGAACAACCTTTTTTTATTGGATTAGATGAAAAAATACAGGATACTTTTATTGACGAACGCGTGGCCATCTTTTTTTCACTCTTAGTCGCCTAGAGCTGATGTGTGCTCAACTTAAAGATATCTGAAAATAAATTATAGTATTTTGTTATTATGATATATTATAAATTTAAAAATAAAATACCGATTAGAGAAAATATCAATCAGAAATTATCGATAGCCACAAATCATCGGCTTTAATAAACAGGTATTAAATAAACTGATGTTTTATACTGTTTTATTATTTTTAAAAATCGACAATCATTCCACATCTATAATTTGAGCCAGATATTTGACTTCAATCATAAATCCGCTACTATTCGAACTGGATCGTAGCTCCTTCCGGTCTGTGAAGAGTTTTCTTGCAGGCTCGCTACCACATTCGGCCACCAAGAAATGCCATCGTAAAAATCTCCTCCGCCTTTCGCAGAGTTACTGTAGCGCAATGTATATACGAGTATCACACTATTACAAATATTAATATTTGCATCAATCACAATGTCTCAACTAAACATGAAAATAATAAGCTTCCTTTTACAGGTTACGACCTTCTTTTGATTATTCTCTAGTGAATTTGGTTCATTACATACATTTTTTTTAAATTCAAAAAAAGTATTTGAACTTGAACTCCAGTATACAGTGCGGATCGGTGACATGACTTCATTAAGTGAGAGTTGCGCAGCTGTGAAAGTATTTTAATGTGAATATGTTTGGAATTAATAAAGTAAATGTTAATATGAGTGTACGATCGGGGGATCTCTTTGCCCGTTAGAGTTGTACTGAACCTACGATTCTAAAAGGAAAAAGTATGTTGTTTACGGACAAAAGGGATCTTGACGTTTCACATAGACACGCGCGCGTCCAAAAAAATCATGAATATAGTACAAAATTTGGCTGAATGACGTTTTTGTCACGCTATTCCTTGCACTTCAAGGAGTGTGGTTGACCTCATGCCACGGAGTGTGGTATTATAAACGTTTCTGAGGGAGTAGCAGTTATAATACTGGGTGAGTGGAACCACGCCTCAACGGGGCAGCTATAGGTAAAACCCTGCCTCCTCACCTCGCCAGTAGCCGGCAGAGCGCGACGCCTCAGCGGCCGAACAGCGACGCCAGCAGTCCGCCCCCGCCCCCGTGAGGCGGGGTGGTGGCGGGCGGGGGCGCGTAGACGTACACGGGCTGCGGGTCGGGGGGCGGGTCGCGCTGCCCCAGAGCGACCGGGGGCACTTGGAGGAGCTGCGCGGCCACCTCGACTGCGGTGCGTAGGGCGTCGCTGGCGGCGCGCGACCCGTCCACCACGGCCGCCACCACGCCGTTCGCCGCCCCCGCCGCGTCCGCCACCGACGTGATGCCCGCCGCCGCCGCCTGCAGCGCCGTCTCCGAGGGCCCCGCCGCCCGCGCCGCCGACGCTGACGCCCATAGCAGCACCGCGCACGCCACCCCCCAGCGGGCACGTGGCCGGCACACCTGCGCACACGCCGACGCGTTCGCCTATTGATTGATTGATTGATTGGTAATTTTTGGGCGCGTCATCTGCTAAGGTCAATATCCCCGTAAGTGTAGTGCATGTCAAAACCTCTCATAAAACAGAGCAAATCGAATCGATTTGTAATGTAGATCTAAGAGTACATTGCAACAGACATTACAGTATTACAGATCTACATTACCGTTAAGTTTTGCGGTAATTTTACTTTTCGAATGCAAATTTTTAATTTCATCCGAAGTTTCTTGTGTAGTTTAGTTGCCAGTTACTGAACTTTTTATTCCGGTTTAGTTGAATTAGTGAAATATTTCTGGAACGTACTACTGTGATTAAGAAAGTGGAATACATTTTATCCCTAATTTTCTATTATTATTTGAACCAATCGAATCTATTTGTAATATAGATAACCAATCAACATTACATTTAAATTTTGTGGTAATTTTACTTTTCTAATGTAGTTTTTTTAAATTTCAAAGCAAAAATGTTCCCGGCTACTATTTTAAAATCCAGGAACAAACGTGTACGAGTATGTGATTGTCAACATAAAATCAATCAAGCGTTTGAATCTCATATCAAATTTCTCATTACAATAAATCGTGATTAAATTAATGTTGAGGGAAAATACGGTATCAGTTCTAATTATATTTTTATTGAATATTGTTACTAAATGCGAATGCCATACCTAATACAAATGAAATAACCCTTATTCTTTAGAAATAAGTAGGGCATACTCATTACACAATCTGTATTTTTAATGTGTGATTCATAAAATATACACTTACTTTTATAAATGTAACCAAAATTTGAATAGTAGCACTTAATTACACCCAACAATAAGTTAAAACTTGTATTCATAAATGTATATAACTCGTGAGTCAGTTTTAAACAATTCTTCGACTTACAGAACCGCTGGAGCAGATTCGATAAGATTTTTGGGATGTCCACCACATTAAACAACGATCTACGAGCATTGGAGTACACTGAACCTTTGAACGGTAATCCTATATTCACTCGGCATGAGAGCTCTGCATGCGATGTCACCTTAAAGCAGGTGCCACTGAGAAGGAAATTCGCCCATTCGTCCTTCGTTTGTTTCCATAGAAACGATACCTTATCTCTAGGAACTGACCTCATTTAGACCTCATTGTGACATCTCCGTACGTCGGCTGATAAGCATGCGAGACATAGCCTAATAGGTTACCATTAATAGGGGTGAATGTAAATTGTTACATTTAAAAAAAATAATATATACCATAAGAATAATATATACAATGATTACAGTATCTTGTAGGAATGTCGTGCACACTTAATTTAACAATATCCTTTCACGTAGTAGTAGCATAAATAAAATCTTTGTACAGTCGTCAAAACATAAGATTGTCCCAACACATTTAATGTGGGAAAATCAACTGATAACTCTCAGGCTAGTGACACAGTTGCTAATAGTCGGCTTAGAAATCCTTCGATTTATGAATAATTATAGAATTATTCATAATTAATTCTGTCATTTTTATTTATTTCACGTAAAAGGCAATGAAACTTGTATGTAACAATGGGAGCTGCGGGTGGTTAAAGAAGAAAATACCTTCAAACAATTTGTAAATAGACGCAAAGCAGGGCCCACTTCAGCATTTGCTCATTGCTCCTGATAAAATACGAAGCACTCAGATGTGTCCACGCGCACAAGAACTTAACAATACTACATGCGCGAATCATAGAAAGGAATAGTAGATTATAACATAAAATTGCTTAGTTTTCTAAATCAAATATAGAAATAATCAAAAACAAAATTTAGAATTCTTCAATTCAAAATTCTCTGGATTTAATTTGAATTAATGTAATTATTCTGAATTGATATTTTTTTTTCGATTTTGTTACTCAATATAAATATATAGTATAAAAACCTGTTGTAGTAAAATATAATTTATTTGACATTGAATGTTTAGTCACAAACATTTCTGTCGTTTGTAACCTTTTCAAAGTCATTTTAAAGTCTTCATCGCAAGTTTCTCGCGTGGGCGGTTGCTGAATTTTTTTACTCCGGTTTAGAGAGATATTTGTGAAACTATCTACTGTGTTTACGAATATAGAATACATTTCCCCTAATGTTTATTATTTATAATGTGAGCATATATGAATTCAAAATCTTTTCATTCATTCGAGATAATACAAAATGCTAAACGTTTTCGCGGATACGTTTTGGACTACTTCGGAATAATACCGGGTGTGTTATGTTCAGCACCTTCTGAGGTTTGGTGGGCAATTACTGAAATAAACAAAATTTTTAAACCGGCATTAGTAAAAGCGGTTGTTTGTATGGGATGCACAGCGTGCTAAAAGTTAAATTTGTAGCACTATTGTGGGACAGTGCTCAAATACGGAGGTGTTCCCAGAAGTACCCGGCCTGACCTAGAGATCGCGGTAGTGTTTCGAAAAATACCACTGTATTAGAAAGTAGACAATCTATAAAGCATATGTTTCAAGTTTGAAGACGCTACATTGTTTAGTATTTGTTTGGCAACAATCAATAGTGAACGTTGTGAGTGAATTTGTAAAAATGGAGACAATTGGTCATCGTTATGTGATCCAATACTTTCATTTGAATGGCCTCATCCCAACCAGTATAAAAACTGAACTAGATTCTACTCTGGGTGAGTCTGCGCCTTCGTTTACTACAGTAAAATATTGGGTAGCAGAGTTTAAACAAGGCCGTACGAGCTGCCAAGACGAGCATCGCAGTGGTCGACCAAATGAGGTGACAACTCCAGAAATGGTAAAGAAATTCCACAAAGCGGTACTGGGTGATCGTCGACTGAAAGTGCGTGAGCTAGCAGACATAGTACGCATTTCGAAAAGTGCGGTACATCGCATATTATCTGAAAATTTAAACATGAGAAAGCTATGTGCAAGATGGATGCCGCGTTTGCTCACACTCGAGCAAAAACAGTGTCGTGAAGATGTTTCAATTGAGTGTTAGCGAAGTTTCATTGCAACAAAGAAGAATTTTTACGCCGTTTCATAACCATGGATGAAACATGGGTCCACCACTTCACCCCAGAGAGAAAACAACAATCAAAACAATGGACTGAAAAGGGAGAACGCGCACCAAAGAAGGCGAAGACTGTTCCATCTGCATCCAATGTATGGAACAAACAATACAAAATATATTCGCCTGACCTCATTGTATAATCACATTTATATTATATAATATTTCGTATTATGGTATGTAGTATGTACATTGCATGTTATACGCGCTCGTTTATACTTGATTCCCAGAATACCTTCCCCCACTCCTTTACTAACATTACAAAAAACTTATTTTGCGACGAAAAACGAGCTACAGATTTGATATAAAACTACTGTCTTCGAAATGACCCTCCTCAACTCCTCCCACATCTAGTAAGAAAATGTGTGAGGATAATGCCATAATGTACCATAGCACCCAATAAAATGATTTGTCAACTTGAATATGAAATCCTGTAAGCCTGTTAAATAAATAGGGTATGACACACGTGGTAAAAATAATTAACTCTGTTCATTTTTTAAACTATAATTGCTATGTTTGTACTGTTGTATACTGATAGTGGTCGCTGATCTAGTTGTTGTAGAGCCACATTAAAAAAATACACTTTTTAGAGATTATTTTGCTCGCAGGATTGCGCCATTTGGCCTTGTCGCAACATTGTCTACTCTCAAAATAAAAGGTCACTTTTACCATTCGTATTATATATGTAACCGTTTCATCCACCTGGCGTGTAGGGGAAGTATGTTGAGGTTCGAATCCCTGGTTTTTATGTTTGAATAACTTAAGTAAATGAATCCTTTGGAAAATTAGTGTTCCGTGTTTAATGTCTTTGTGACCTCTCACTTCTACTAGTTTTTATTACGTCTTGTGTTTGACCTTTGTTTTCCTCTTGAGATCGGATACGGTTAGTTTGAATGGATTCTTGTTTCCGAGAAGGAATCTCTTGGCAAGGATATCTGATGATAATAGCCGCTAATTACAAAATTGAAGATCACAAATGTTCGTATAAAAAGTATATATTATATTTATTTTGTGTTGTTGATATTTTAACTTAAATTTAATTTTAATTTTGTGAAAAAATGCTTTAGCGCTAGCGCGTGTTGAAAAACGACTTTTTGGCCGTCTGGACAAAACAGGAGAATAGCTAATCTCCTAGACTTGTCTATCACGGCATCGCTCTAGTTTCACTGTATCATAATTGAAAACAACTATTCGCATTATTCAGTAATTACTTTACGACACTCGCGGTATCAGTAGGGACTTTTTTATTTGGCGAAATATCTGTAAAACAGATCATTATGTAATCAAAATATGACAAAAGAAACTAGAGAGACAATACGTACGATATGCACTGAGAAATAATTAACTACCACTAATTAAAAATTTATTTTATTCTGCCCCTCTCTGGGCAGCCATTGGAGAAATTTCACCTTTTCTACTAATGTTATAATTATATTCTTGTTCCACATTGAACAATTATTTAATGTATTCCGCGATTTTACTAAATTCATTATTTTTGTTAATATTTCATTTATTAAAATATTTATTACTTTGCTATTTCAGTCTGCATAAAAACATTTCCATTGACTTTACAAACCTGAGTTTCACGTACAAGACTTTACCTTCTTATGGTACTATTATATGTGTAAGTGCAACTCTTTGTAGAGCCGCGTTTCCTTGACTTTTTGCTGTATTATCCTGTTATTAAAAATCTAATGGCACTTTCTACATATTCTCCGCCTTTTTCTTTGATAACAAAAAGTTAACATTTATTCTGACATATTTACAGTTTTGCCTTTGAGTTCATTAATGACTTGGATTATCTTTACTTTGTACATTCACAAATCCCGGACAGTATTTATTTTGCATAATGTTCGTAAGCTTACAGAAATATATTTTACGCTGCTCTTCAAGATGTCTTCCGGCCGGATGCCGTCCATGGGACGTGCTCGTGGAGCTCCTGCTGTCGTCGTAAATTTTGGCAGCGGGAAAATCCAAACTGTTTGATAATAATATTTTATAATCCAATCTGTTCAATAACTATGGACCGCGAAGGCGATTATCCCTTTCTGCGCCTCGGATGAACCTGTTTGAGATTGTTTGAGATTTTAACTTACAACAATATATAAAGTCCAGTTAGGAATCTATTATACATTACTTCCCCACGTAACAAGTCTATTTTATATGAATTCTCAAAATCATAAATAACGGCACAATCTAAAAATGACACCCACAAATTACAAATTATATACTACACATAAAACAAATCGCTCAATTAACGTAATCTTCCCGTTTCCTTATCAAATTGTAACCCAGCCTAAGTCTGAAAAATATTCCTACCATTCTAGACGGTCGCTGGTCAGAGAGAAATTTCTTCTAACAAATTCTAGTATTACTCGCGCAACTTTTCTTGAACGATGACCTTGCTTCCCCGTATCTGGCACAATAAACAGATGAAGGCAAAAGCTCGCAGCGAGCACTGATGACTACATTCCAAATAAATATTAACTGGTGCGAAATACAAACAATTTTCTTTTGAAGACAACTTCTATCCGTTATTTTCTCCAAAAATCTAAAGAAATGACCCAAGCAGGTAAAGATCTATCACAGGAGACCTCGAACTCCTGAGAACTCCTGAGAAAGTTAGAACGCAAATTATTGAGAACGTTGCGAAAGCATGTCTGATTCTCCAGAGATTGGCATTGCTTGATAAAATCTAGTGGCTGATTTCGTAACTAATACCACCACTCTATCCGGATTTCATCAATCCATTGTTCAAGAAAAGTTGCACGAGTAATATTACCATTTCGACTGCCCACTCTACATTTGTTGAAGTCATGTTCCCGGGGCCTTGCTTCCCGAAAGAATATCACGTCCAGACCCTCAAGAATGGAACACTAAGTTTGTTGACACCTTGTCCTGATGACATGAATTCTTTGGTCTAGACTATCTTAAATACATCTAATTCTTTTAGAATCGTACATTTTATCCTTTTATTAAATGCATGGGGGAGTTCTGATATCTCACAGAATAATACAATTAGTACATCGAATATTTTTACCATTAATATATTTTATCAATATGTACGAAATTATGTCCTTCATGAATATTACTAAAAAAGAAATATTAGGTAGGAAACAAAAGATTAAATCAGATAATTTCAAAAATACAATTTCGAATTAAATTTTAGGTTAATATGAAATTGAGCATCATTATCCAATAACACGGCGGTAAGGAATAGCCGAACATCAGTGTCCATCCAAGAATGTGACCTGCTTTTGTCTTCTGTATAATTAGTTATGTGATATTTAGCAGACCCCTGAGGTGGAAATATTATATCAGCAGCAGTAATTAACCGATAATGATATAATTGGCCACAAGAAAACCAATGGCAAATCATATTTTTTCAGTATATTATAATAGTGTTTGTAGACTTCGGTTACGTTGCCAGATGTGTATGGTGTCTGGCTCTACTAGATGTAAGAAAGCAATGGAGAAGTACATCAGATCGGAGCGAGAATTATATTTACTGAAATGCGATGCATACGAAATTGCTTACAAGCAAGCAAGCAAACGAAGATGCAGATACGCTCGTATTCCGAATTGGAATTGTGTTGGTTGGAGGAAATCTTCTGTTCAAAATAACGCGTTTTCAAAATTTCTACCAAACTGTTTTCTAAAACCAAGGAAAGAGAAAATTTCTCAATCCCTGTACCATCCTGAAAGTGGTATAGAGAAGAGCCTTCCCTACTATGTACGTTTTCAATGCGCTCTAGCGCCTAAACGGGTTTTCACAAACTTGAAGTTAATATACGAGTTTTGTATGGTTTGTTGCCAACTTCAAATTATAAATAGTGGCCAATTCGATAAACCGTAGTTTTCTAGTGATAAGCGAAAAACTGAAAAAAGTGCGAAATTTTTAGTTTTTTTTTTTTTCAATTTTCTTTGTAAAGCCGACCTTTTTCTAGGAGGCAAACATAAAATTTTAATTCAACACTCCCAAAAAATACCCAGAACCATTGAGGAATAAACTTCCAGTATTTCGTTTTCTGGATTGGACCCTTTTTGTGAGCCATGTATCTGGTCTCCACGCGGTAAATGTGAATTTATTTTGCTCGTAGGATTGCACCACTCGGTCTATATGCCTCTTATCGCAACCTTTTTCGCCCGCGAAATGAAATGTCACTTTTACCACTCGTATTCCAAAGAACTATTTCAGATACTTCGAATTCTGCTAGTTTGAGCTAGTTTAGATGGTTTATACTGTTATAATTTTACAAAATGGTAAGAAAATTTTGCATGTAATCAGTACTTTAGGAAGTTTTACAAATTTAAGAAAATTTGAAATAGTCGAGCGGAGTCATTTTTATGTCTTCTTGGATTGCTATACATAATGATTACAATAATTTATTTTTTACTTTCTTGCCTTTTCGAAGGTACTTCGTGAGAAGAGAACGTTATATAATAGGGCGCTGGAAACCGGCAAATTTTTCGGAGAAAAACTCTCATTGCCGGGGCCTGTATTTCTTTCTGTAGTACATATACGCTCATTTGTCGAATGAGGCGAGCAGAGACGTATAACATGAACTCTACCCAACATCACACTACTGATCTACTAACGATATTCACTGTTTGACTTTCAACACGGCTATCTTGAAATTTATTACACTGAATATCTCCCTATTGTAAAAATAGCAGACTTTCATTTGAGAGCTCATGAAAGAGCAAATAGCGATTAACTCGTGTAGGGTATGGCGAAATAAATAATTAAAGCATTACACATTTGATTTAATTGTAAGGTAAAGTTGAATTTATTACTTTGTGATTCCTCTATTCCTCTAGAGCTAACTTTGATTTACTGACAGGCAAGTTGGGCTCGCTGCCCAGAAGTGGCAGCCACTGACAGCGTTTCGACCGATGTGCACAAGTGTTATCGCCCATCCTCCTTATCGCTGTATTGGGGAACTAGCCATGTTCAGAGTAAACATGATGAGACTTTGGGGTTTGTTTTTGTGAGGGCACTTCCTGAGAGAAGAATTTGTGAAGGGCCACACAAAAGACCTCCAATGTCTATGTCTTCAAACTATTCACGTATGATGGAAGGTATATGTTAACAAATGAAGGTTCTGAGAGTCTTGGGTATTGATTCTGCATATTATATGCACGACACATTCCATGTGACAAATTAAATACATTTTTATTAAAACAATAAGTAAGCAATAAGCACAGTAATAACCTGCATTATATTCTACATTCGCCGATTTAAAAAAATAACTTTTTTTATCGAATCAGTAAGAACTGTCTAGAATGTGTTCACTCCTAAAAAGCCCTTTCTTCTCAACTTTATACTAGCTCTACATTCTCACTACTATTAATGTATTCCTCACTGTCAATAATGTACATTGACTACGAATTTCTGAGATCGTTTTAGAACTATCTTCTTCTACGGAACCTTCTATGATTTTAATGAAATTTTAATGAAACTCTTAACAGTTGCTTAATCATAAGCGACAAGGTAAAAAAAGTAACCTATCAAAGGAATGAGGTATTTTGAGAAAGGTGAAATATTTTACATAAATTTAAAAATGCATATATTTTTAATTACTCTATTGCTATTATTTATACATGTGAAAATGATTATGTTTCCTACGCATATACGAGTACGTAATGTTCAGTTCCGTGATCTTCCTTTCTTGTTTGAGATTTTTTATAGAATGATAATGTGCTGGAAAATGACAGTAAGTCATTTAATCGTAACGATCTCGGAGTCATTTTCTTCATTCTTGGTAATAAATAACACTGTAACAGAGAAATATGCATTAATAAACGTGCATATTTAATGTTCATGTGACGTAGTAGACAATTCACTTCGAGAACTGAATTAGAGATATTGCGGAATGCCAACTAACATTGACTTTAGAGTAATGTGATAGTTTCATTACTTCAAGAAAAAACTTTTCTTCGGCAAATTGCTATTCATAATGGGTATCCAGATGAACTCTACTTAAAATAAACAATTTAAATAGTAAAAATGGCACAATTGAGCATGAACTATTTAAATTGCAGAGCTAGTCTCTTGATAGTATGTCATATTTTCGACAAAAATAAGATAATACCACAAACATACTTCCTATATCAATTAATACATTTTGCGCGAGTATTGTGGTGCTGGTGTAACAAAGCTCTACTAGGAAGACATTTTCTCTTACTTTGTGACAAATATCGGATTGAAACCTTTTTCTTATTTCTCTAAACGGGTTCGTTATGGTATCTCGTGCCAAGTCCTTCAATTCTATAAGAATAATCTTCCTATTTCTTTAAAAACTTCAGTGGCCGCAGTAATGAGTTACATAAATGTTGCTTCATATTCTTAAACTATTACATTTTTTATGCTACAGAGCAGATCCAACTTTTTTTAAAGATAGTCTCATGCACATATTGTTTGGATGATCTGGAACGCGTCCAAATAATCATGTTTTTGACATTACCCTTACGTAATTAATACTGCAAGGGGTCATTGTACTGCTATCCTTCTGAATGCGGTTGCAGCAGAAGAGGTCAAAGAGCAAGACGAAGATCGACGCGGAAATGTACCCGCAACAGCCTTGTGCTTTTGAGAGCTGTCACCATGAACCGCGGGTTCTTTGATTGAAATAATTTTTTGTTGTTGTAGGAAATGGCATGGTGTAATGATGTTTTCATCAGTTCAAGAAAACGTAGTGTCATCATAAAATGTATTTGTGGGAGAAAAGCTGTTTCAATCTTATAGTAATTATCCTTAGTGTATTTGATGACTGGAAATAGGTATACATGTGAACTATCGAAAATGCTTCATACGCTAATTCATACAACTGATGAGCTTGATTAGATATTCCTTTGGCATATGCGGTTCATTTTGAGAAATAAGATATTTTTCAATTCGATGTCTCTCGCTACTGAGTAAAGAAGAAATGATTTAGTGCAGCGTCTTTGTTACACTTGCATCACAAATCTCGCTAAAAATTTAACAATCGATTTGGGGACTGTATTTAAATTATTTTAATTTTGACAAATTTGTGGCATACACTTACCCAGAGCCGAACCCTTGAATTCTGATGGAACTGAGACTGACTGCAAAAGTTTTAGTGACATTTGCCACGACTGGTATGACCTTGCAATAGGACGATGTCACGAGACTTTATTTCTCATTGTTCCGGACTTTCAAGTAAATGTTTTCCGATATTGTTATTGTCACTACTTCGCGTGGTATATAGTCGCCATATGGAAATGAAATGAGCCGAAGACAAATCCGGTGGCAGGCCAGACCCACCTCTTCTGTAATATTACTCCGTCTCAGATATATTTTTTATTTCAGTATCACGTCAATAAGGCATATGAATAACAACACAGGCTGTAGAGACAGTATTTTGTTTATAGGAGTTCGAAGCTCTGAGAACTGTAATTACTGGAAGTTTAAGAATATACGAACTAATCCTACGACCTAAGTTTGTTGAGAAAAAATGAGAAATAGAGCCGTGTTGCAAGTTAAAAGAAATATATTATTCATACGTTACTTACTACAATACTTTTGTCAAATATGGATTATTTTGAAATAAATATTTCTTATGACATTCCAGTTCTTGAAAGTAGATATGAAAATAATGTATATACATTTGACTCGTCTTTAGTAAATCGCCTTTTTGGCTTTCTCTAAATAATTGAAAACTAAAAAGTCACAAGTGTTAAGTCTCAAATTACCTACTACAAGTACCCTAAAGGGTAAAGGCATTACGTCTCGTTAATATAGAAATATCCAATAAATTTTCGTCTTAATACTTATAATATAGAGATATTGCTATTAGAAGGGACCGCTTTCACAGCCACTGCTTGGCTACTGGTGGCAATACAACTGCAAGTTACATCTATGCACTCATTTCGTCAGTGCCTTCGTTCGCACTTAGCCCATTTGTAAATGGCTTCATAACTGTCTTGCAGTGACATCGCCCTGCATGACGTTCATGTGTTTCCCGACCTGCCCAAGTGGTACCTTCTTAGATTAACTCCTCTATCCCTCCCGTGCCAAAACTCACCGCCAGTGCTCACGCGTCAGCCGCTGCGACCTGGCACGTGCGTCCGCACGTGGGCACCAGGCAGCACAGCTGCCCCGCGGGGCACTGCGCGTCGCCCTCGCAGCTGTCGAAGTAGGTGATGCAGCGCACGAGCGGGTTGGGCTCCGGGCAGCGCAGGTGCGGGTGGAGGAGGTGCTCCTCGTCCTGCACGGCCGCCGCCACCTTCACCCCCGCGCCCGGACCCGCCTCCGCCGCTGGACGTCGCCGCCGACGGCCGCCGCCACGAGCGCCGCAGCGCGAACGGAGCTGGAGCAGGCTCGGAGGCGGACGCTACGCATCCTCGCGGGCGCCGCCACGGTCAAGTGGACTGCAGCTGACATCCCTGACGCCGCTCGGGCCCCTCCCACCCTTGCTTCCGCTCCGTCTTCAAGGGGTCTTGGGACTCATCATTCTCCGATCCCGCGCGCCTAGGGTTGCCAACTTGCAGAGCCGAAGTGCGCTCAGGATTGAATGAATGAAATGCATGAATGGCAGATGCATGCATGAATGAATTTGATGGAGTGTTGCTTAAATTTTACATGGAGATCTCGGACTATCAGGCCGCTCTTACGTCTGCCACGGCAAATTTTGCTAATATTAGAATATACCTATACTAATACTATTGCGAGAAATGTAAATTAAGCAAAGGAAGTAAACGAGAGTGGGAGATCGATTAAAAAATATCGTTTCAGCGATTCATGATTGGCTAGTAAGACTAATATATAGAGCTAGTGTATGAATTCTCTCTAATATGAAACCAAGGAAGAGTTGTGTCGTGTGTGGATGTGAGTGAGAGCTATGTGGTTCATGAATTGGAATGTATTGCGGTATTATATAGTGAATTTTATTTTTTTCCCGAGCAGTGTGCATGCTCCTTTGGGGAAAACGTGTTTTTTTAAGTTCAGCAACGTATTTTTGGTTTTCGCAGATCACTAGTTTACATTTAATATATGTAACTAAGTGGTGTTAATATTACGTTGTCATTCGAAATCATTTACCTAACTGTTCATAAGAATGGGTTTTCACACGTGAAACATATAGTTTCTGCGATTAAGAGATAATTTAGAAATGAAACATTTATTTTTGACATAATAGATTGTGATTCGATGAGATAATAGGAAATTTTGGAATATCCAACTGATGGCTTAGACACAAGGCAGAATGACAAGATATCACTGTGTTTTTGATATATTTTATTTCTAATTGTGATGTTCCTCGAACTTTTTTAATACCGCTTGGAAATCGAATCTTGTGGGTCCATTCTGTAAACGAAAAGCGAAAAAATTATTGGCACAACAACAATATTTTATATCGCATCTGGGCAACAAAATGGATGTCTCTGCGTGTGACGTTTGAGGAAGTCGTGAAATTGGAATTTCTTTTTCAGAAGCAACAAATCAACACTGATAAGCGCTCGCTCAAGGATTGTTAGAATGGGGCGCAAAATAAGATCGAGAATTCACCTACACACAGGTTATAGGTAATTACGTGAAATGTTAATTGAAAAATACATATTTAATCAATGACAAAAAATTTCAGGATGAAATCCTTTAAAATTTTAGTCGGACATCGAACAAAATTATCAACTTCAAATAAACAGAGTAATGTGCGTTATTAATATATTTTATATAAGTTTATAAATACTATATATTAAGAATTATGTCTAGTAAATTTAAATAAAACCAATATGATTTAATATCTTCAGAAATAAAAGTATTACAATTAATAATATACCGCGGAATATTCATTATTTTGTGATTCAGATTATTGAGTCGAAAACTGCATTTTGATACTCTGAACATTAGAAGTTCACAATATTATCCATTTTGACTTTTGTTACAGAATATAATGTTC